AGACACAATTAGTTCACAAATCACATCTCTTTTTTGAATAGAGATACAACACAAATTCAATTGCTCTCTTTCACACAATAAAAAAAGCACAAGAAAAATAAAATGAAATGGTCTTTAGTGGTTTTCACAATTAACTACTTGATAATCATGTCACACACAAATTTTAAAAATTGAAAGATTCTTTTGAATGCCAAAGCAATGTGGGAACTTGGTAATACAAAAATCTAGCTTCTTGTGAGTGCACCATTAAAACCTGCAAGGAAAAAAATAAATTCTTCATCAATACATGTAGATGCTTATAAGAGATAAAATATAGACTGCAACATCTATATTTAGCACCATTAGCATTATCTTTTTTAGAATAATGACCAATGCTTTCTTCAAAATATTGATTGGGTACTCTGTAGCCATAAAAACAACAAAAATTAATTAATGGTGTAGAAAGCAAGAATGGGCCTAACACATAGATAACAAATTGTTGTATTATTTTTTTTTCTTTCTTAACAAGAAACATTCAAGCAAAAAGAATAGGACTTGGGTTCTCATATATGCGGTGAGAAATATAGGATTTTATTATTATTATTATTATTATTATTATTATTATTTTTTGGGATAGATAGAAAGATATGATATGTTTGTAAAGAAAGATTTCTAAGATACTGCCTAAGATGCCAATTATATATAAACACAAGACCATGTTTGTTCACAATGACCATGAATAATACTTAGAGAGAGAAACATCACCTAAAATCCCAATCTTGTTCATAGCCATTAATTACCATCATTTTCTTTAGCATCATGATCACTGTTTTCTCCATTGCCGTCTTTACAATTGCGAGCACTCTGTAACCATCAAAACAACTTGTTGAAAGGGGAAAGCAAACACTGCAGTAAAATGGTTTATAATTGAAAGTGCTTCTGTTGATTTGCATAGCAAATTAAAAGAAAAGGAGTTCATCAAATTACCATGACCTTGCACTCTAATTCATTAATCATATCTAGATATGTCTTGGACATTGTTAATAGAAGTCGATGCTATTTAAATAAAATAAAACACATAATTAAGGAGATACTTCCTATAATTTAACATTGTCCTTTAACTAGATGATTAAGGAAAAGGTTAAAGAAAAAACTTAAAAAGTTGATAAAAAAATAAAAAAAACATAAGGAAGTCTTTGGAATCATCATCAATGCATACCTTGTCCGTAAACAATTGTTGTATAGTGCTGTTAAGATTACCCTCCCAACTTCTTTCATCTTCAACTTCATCCTCTTCTACAGCTTCATCTTCATCTTCATCTTCATCTTTATTAAAAATATCATCTATTTTTTTCTCTTTATCTTCATCCATATCTTCATCCATATCTTCATCCATATCTTCATCTATATCTCCTGTCAATTTCACTTCTTGTAGCCATGGTGTGCTTAGTTTTCCCTTTGAGAAAATCTGCATATTTGGACACTCTGTAACAATTACCTCTACCAAAGCTGGGAATTTAAAGTTGAAGTCCCCTGAGCAGAAGCTTGCTAGTCTTGGTAAACCTTTAAGTTGCAAACACTCCAATTCAGTGAAAACAATGCCATCGTTCACAGCATCACCCAAACATACGACAATTTCTTCTATCATCTCACAATCGGCTACTTTCATTCCTCGGAGCTGCCCCAAGCTTTTCGCTGTTGAGTATCTCACTAAATTGACAAGTCCATGACACTCAGATACCACTAGAGTCTGCAAATTGTTGAAAT